TGTCGATTGAGGTGTTATAAGGGCAGGAGTTGTATCGTGCGATTGTATTGAAGGAAAATCGACGTGAATAGGATTTCCGTCTAAATATGCTGCTTTGAGGCGATCGATACTGATGCTTCCATTGGTCCTATTCTTATCGATTATATAGTGCTTAGATTTGCGTTGAAGAACTTTGAAAGGTCGTTCATATGTTGATTCGAGAGGTCGTCGATGCGAGTCTCGACGTACGAAAACGTGTGTACTATGTCGTAAGTCAGGTTGAACGAAAACATCAGTTGATTGTGGTCGAGTGGAAACAGGTTTAACTGAACGCATTGCGTTTGTAAGCCTGTTCGTGTTGGAGGTTAGATCCATGTTCATCGAAGAGGATGAAGGATCCACGAATTCTCCTGGAAGTCGAAGGGTCGTTCCATGAACGAGTTGAGACGCAGTGTATCCAATGTCAGCTTTCACTGCATTGCGAATACCTAGTAAGACGAGTGGAAGTGCGTCAGTCCACTGAGAAATGTTTGAGGCTGATAGTGACGCTTTTAGTTGTCGGTGAAAACGTTCTACCAAATCGTTTGCTTGTGGGTGGTAGGCCGTCGTTCGGAAGCGAGTGATTCCTAATTTTGAGGTTAGACAACGGAAAAATTCAGATTCAAACTGACGTCCACGATCTGCAGTGATGGCTGTTGGGCACCCAAAATTTGCTACCCATCGTTCGACAAAGGCGCGAGCCACTGTTTCAGCAGTAATGTCCTTGATGGGTACTGCTTCTGGCCATCGAGTAAAACGGTCTACGCATGTTAAAAGATAAGAATATCTATTCGAATCTGGTAAAGGTCCAACCAAATCCAAATGAACATGGTCAAAGCGAGCATCGGGAGTGCTAAACGAGTCTAGGGGACGCTTGTTATGTCTAATCACCTTAGATTTCTGGCAGCTTACACAGGAGCGTGCCCACTATCTCACGTGTTTATTCATACCAGGCCAGCAAAACCGTTCTGTTATAAGCTTGATGGTTGCACGAACACCTGGATGAGAGATTCTGTGCAACGTATTGAAGACGTTGCGTCGATAATGTTTCGGCACGATTGGGCGATCCCTACCTGTAGATGTGTCACAAAGTAAGGTTTCCTTACCTGTTCCCATCTGTTTAATTTGCAGTTTAAGTGTTGTTGACGCTAACTCGTGCTGAACATCACTGTCTTTTTTTGAAGTTGGGAGAGTTTTAAAAGGTCGATTCCTTGGAAACTGTTCAAGGAATTTATGCAGGACCAAGCGTCTGCAACTACATTGTTTGCTCCAGAAATGTGTCGAATATCTGAAGTAAACTGCGAAATGTAGTCCAGTTGTCGAGACTCAAGTGGTGAGTACTTGTCTGAAGATGAGCTTAGAGAGAGGGTAAGAGGTTTATGGTAGGTAAAAAGGGTGAATTTGTAGAATTATGGTCTATTATGATATTAGCACGACTCTAATAATAGACCTAATCCTAAAATTGTTTATTTATCATGATATAACTGCCTAATCTATAAGATCTTACGTGGAAGTCATATCATCATCTACACCAACTTACTGCATCGTAACAATTACCAATACATGATAGAGAACAATCTTAGGCCAGAGATGGAACAATATATTTAATATGAATAGAAGATATAAGGTAATATTTAGCAGGGACCACAACTGTATGGCCGAGCCATGCCATCCGATCAACTCTCCATTCTTCTGTATTTCTCCGCGTTAAATTTTGAATGCCTATTTCCCAATATTGTCTCGTGGTAGGGCCCAATGCCACTACAAATTCACAGCCTTCGATATAGTGCTGAAAATGCAGTACAGCACAATACATAGCTAGGAGTCTCCTACCGAATGTGCTGTACCTCGATTCAGTGTCTAGCAACCGTCTAGAGAAAAATGCCAAAGGTTGCCAGGAGTAGTTAACCCATTGTTGTAATACTCCTCAGATTGCTGAGTCGGATGCGTCTTCTGTGATACTAATGGGCGCTTCAGGGTCCTGATGAGCAAGCATGGTCGCTTGAGCGATACGTTCCTTAACCGTGGAGAATGCTTTTCATGCGGTGTCATCCAGATTGATGGATTTCGCATTTCCACGAAGTTGGTCTGTAAGGGGTTTCATAAGTAACGCGCATTTCGGTATGAACCGTGTATAGAAACTTACTAAACCGCTAAACGTGCGCAATTGTTTGATGATGGTCGGTTCTGGATAATCCAGAATGGCCGCCACTTTTGTTCTAAGGGGTCGGATACCTTGCGCATCGATAATGTGTCCTAAGAAGTCTAAGGAGTCGGTTCTGACTTGGCATTTCTGAATGTTTACAGTAATTTCATGATTTTGTAGTCGGTCGAAAACAAGGTCCAGATGCTGGAGATGTGATTCTCTGTCCGGACTTGCTATTAGGCAGTCATCAACATATGCATGTACGAAGTTGAGACCTCGAAAAACGTCATCTATGAACCTTTGGAAAGTCTGTGCCGCGTTTCTCAGACCGAAAGGCATTCGCAAAAATTCATAGAGTCCGAAGGGCGTTATAATAGTGGTTTTCGGAATATCTTCAGTGCTATAGGAACTTGCTTATAGTCTTTAATCAAGTCGATTTTCGAAAAGACAGTTGAACCTTTCAAGGAAGCTGTCAAATCGTGAATGTGGGGCAACGGGTAACGATCGGGAATGGGTTTTGCATTCAATCGCCGATAGTCACCAGTTGGACGCCAATCGTTGCTGTCCTTTTTAGGGACCATGTGCAACGGAGATGCCGATGGGCTATTTCACGGTCGTATGATTCCTAAATCTATCCTATGGTCGAATTCGTTTTTCACCAACCTTAACTTTTCGGGGGCCAGTCGGTGTGCTTTAGAGAATACAGGTGGTCCTGTAGTCGTGATGTGATGTGTAACGTTGCTGGTTACACACGGCAATTTCGGTTGCGATTGGTAAATGCCAGAATACTTGTCGAGTATTGGTTGATAGAAGGGGTCTATACTGTGCTTAATAGTGACTGGAGATAACCTGCAACCAAAAAAATAAGTTACGCAAACAGATAGATTAGTATTTCCATCTACTAGCCTCCGTTTGCGCATGTCGATAATTAAGTTGTGGTGCTGTAGAATGTTCATACCAATGATTGGCATAGAAACATCTGAAACAACAAAGATCCAGTGAATGGGTTTGTGTAAACCCACGTTAAGATAAACATAGCTTTTGCCATACGTAGCGATAGGCTTTCCGTTTGCCGCCTGTATATTGAAAACCGATTCGTGAAGTCGGTCGTTGGAATTAGCTGGGAGAACGCTAACTTCTGCGCCAGTATCGACGAGGTAGCGAACTCTCGTTATCACATCAGTGACATATAATAGACGGCTATGTTCGCCGGCTACGGTTGGCGTTAACGCGTGCTGGCTTGGAAGTTTCCCGAAATATTCTTCGCGTCGACCGATTTTGATTTGGGAAAATTGCAGGGTTTCCTGCAATTTCTGGAGGACTTTCCATACTGGTTATAATACCAGCACCAGTCAGGATTATCCGTCTCTCGAGGTCTAGATACAGACCGCCTACGTGATGTGCTTCTTCGCGAGGTGTGTGACCGTTTATGGTTGTTACGAAGTTTGAGATAACGCGTAAGTGTATGACATAACTCTGTAATGTCATTCTGGGTCGTTTAAGGCTTTTCTTTGACTGAAGAAACCTCGGCATTAAAAGATTTAGTGATTTTGAGGATACGGTCGGCAGACGCAGCCAGCTCGTCTACGGTGTTGTTTTGAAACGAAACCAGCACAGCTTGCACCTGTTGAGGAAGTTTTAACAAGAAAAGCTGTTTGAATAGGTCATCTTCGAAGGTTCTTTGGCCAATAAGTTCTCTCATTCTTTGCAACATGTCTGTGGCAGAACCGTGTTGCAGGTCGATGTTGTTAAGGAGTTGGTCTAACATTTGTCGATCGGTTAGATCACCGCGTTTAAGGATGGCATGTTTGAGGTTTTTGTATGGGTTATTAACATCACTAGTAAACGTACTAGGTGTTACTTAACTGTTGAATTCTCGCGGTAGTGCCTTGACTACGGCGAGGAATTGTGCACGTGTGTCGTTCACACCGTGCTCGTAGAAGTCGGCTTCTGCGTAGCAAAACCAGGCTTCGATTTTGTCTGGCCAGAAGGGCATTAGTTGGAAGGAAGGTGGGGACACAGTCTTTAACTTAAATACCTTAGGTGCCTGTTCAGTCATATTAATATATCAAGTACGAAAAACTGAATGAGTGGGAAATATATATATATCCAAAAACACGGGAAAAAATCACAATATATGAAAAATTAAAATAAGACAATGATATATAAAATCACAAAAAGGAACAGACTCACAGTTTGCAATTTGATGTACCAGATCACGTCGGGATCACCAATGAAGATGCCACGGGTATTCGGAGTTTGACAACGCTTTAACCAGTACCACCTAATATGAAGCGCTAGCGCTTGCGGCAGATGTTAAACACGGCGTTCTCACACGTGATCTGGTGCGGATGCTTGACCGAGCGCAATCAGCTAGATGAGTCCACTAAAACTGTGGTCAGCATCCAATGTCGAAAACTTACAGAGCTATTTATTTTGGGGATTTATTTACCGCTACAGTTCCAATACGTTCTGACCACCCAGTTACTCAACTATTAAGTGTTCAAATAATAACCAAATCTAAATTAAATTAAGTAGATAAATTGATGAAGGGCACAATACGACTACCAGTTTTAACGAACAAACATTTCTATCGATACTGGGATATTATTCAGCACTTTCTGGACATATCACGTAGTGTTGGAAAGGTAATATTTAAGTAAATAAAAGAATGGACAACAAACTTAGCAAGAACCACCCTTTGCAATAGTGTGTGTTTACATTTATAAATGTGTGATTTTTCACTGCTTTTCTGGAACGAAGATTTAGGTTGTTTGTAGAGCTGTTATACATTGTACAATATACGAGTGTTAAAGTTGCGCGGGCATGTCATATCATGTTTTTATTCTTGGTTAATTTCTATCTTTGTTTGAAGTTGGCTCATACTATTCAGTCTAGCTTGGATCTATCGTGTGAAAATCTTTTACCAGGACAATACATCTGTGACTCCCCTCTGATAGACGAGCTTACCCAGCAGCCAAGGAATTGCTCTCCCTTTTTGAAAGCTCCAGGTACCTTGAAAATTCTATACCATACTCTGTGTAAGTTAACTGCAGACCGGCTCCAGGAATCCACTGTAGTGGAAAGCTTTACAGTGGTACAGAAATTGGTTTTCAAAAGCTAATAGATTGCCGTCGAGTGTAGTTTGACCATAATTTGCAATGTTAACGATATTTCTGTATAGGACTGGATATAAGTTTGATCTGGCATTATTGCTCTCAGTATTTGGTGGACTGTTTGGCTTAGACCGATTTTATCTTGGGTACCCAGCTTTGGGTTAGTTAGCTGATTAACTATATTCTTGCACAGGTTGCTTGAAATTCTTCACATTCGGTGGTTTTGGTCTCTGGTATCTCATCGATATACTGCTAATTTCGGTTGAAGTGAGTATGAATACTTCACCTTTTGCCTAGGGTAATAGTTTCAAGTCAGTATTGTGTATGGTTACTGTTGTTTGTCTTTGTGTAATTCGGAACACTAAATTGTCATATATAGTACTCAATGAAATATGATCCGAATGAAAATTCTGAGTATTCTTGCAAATATTTGGCAAAATACTTTTAAAAACGTAATGCGACAGAATGATTTAATTAGCTAAGCATTTTCGTCTTATACTCAATTTACATTTAAGACTGAAATTTTCAAGATTGGTTGTTCAGATCATGTAACTCAATATATGGATACGTGATTATAAGCAGACTTCCAGCTTCTTAGAGTAAGGGTCGAGATTTCTCTGGTAGCGACCAAAAAATCAACCGTTTAAGGGCTCGTGAAAAATCAACGGAATGTCATTTGTTGGTGCTCTTCCAAGATAAAACCATTTTACCTACCCTAATTTCATGTGCTGATAGGGGGTGATTTTAGTTTACGTTATCTCCTTGGATTAATCCCTTACTCAAATAGTTTCAGGTAAAGAATAGAAAATATAAGGTTTTTGGACGTCTTCAACAGAATCCTAAGAATGCTTGTCTATTTCACGCCTGCCAAATGTAAATGCTTCACAGCTAGTCTATACCGACAACCAAAATTAGAGAAGCAACTGAGTTTATCAAGAGTAAGAAATTAGGTAGGTATACAGACCACCTATTCGCAGAGTCGCCCCACCTTTTGTTCCCGACAAGATCGTAGCACAGGTACAATAGTTCGATCCAACAATTGTTCACATAGTATCAACTCGGCATTTGCCTGAGTATATTTCATCAGTGTTTGACAAGCTGTATAATTTGTAGGTTCTCAGTCATATGCTCCATCACACCATCGCTGAAGTGTAAGCCACCGTGCTAGCAGTGTTAAACAGACGTCGGTTGTAGATAGGAAGAACATATTGGTCGAGAAGTTGATAGATCCCCACCGGCTAACGTGGGTTGGCTATTTGACAGTCATCCAAACTCACTGGTTCTATAAACCAAACTTGTTAAAGTAGAATTAAATAAAATGAAACCTAAATATCCTTTTACTAGCACATATTCGCTAAAAAAAAGCCATCACTTCGATATTGACATTCTAGGCAGTGGTAGGATAGATCCATAGTACTCGTGCTCTTTGATTCATCTTTGTTTTACTAGCTCTACAATCTAAGTACTGGGTAGATTCCTTCTTGAGTTGTTAAATCAGAATTTCAAACTCTGATAGCGTCTATAGTTTCGTTTCTTCACAGTTTGAGTTTGGGCTTTTAGAAATATGCAGTTTTCCTGAGGTTTTTGATGTCATTTACTAACTAGCACAGACTAATACCAGTGATGGAAATGAACTTTGTCCGTGATTACCGCGTTTTCATACATGTCGATTTTACCACTAGTTTCTTATCATTGTTTTGACTAACTGCAACTAACATTTTTGTTTCCTTCGTGTCTTTCCCTTTTTGTTTATGTAGTAATTCTTACTTCCACATTACTATAACTCAATTTATCTTTTTCTGTCTGAATGTAAACGAGTATAAAATCTGAATTCAAAGTTTCCTACTAATTGTATTCAACTATACAGATATAATACCCATATTTTATTCAGTTAGTAATTCTTCTTGTAAACATTCCCAATTTAACGCTTATTATTGAAAATGTGACGCAAAAGATTAATTCTAATAACAGTAAACCCAGAATTCGTTGGGTTTCATACTGTGTTGACAAACTAGGTCGTGTTAGTCAAAAACTCACTTTGTCGTGTTTGCGATAGGATACGTCATTTACTCGTTTTCGATAAATTTGTCTTCAAAGTTCATGAACGTGTTTCATCACAAATTTTCTCACATGATATCTAATTCATTATTAAGGCGAACGATCAGATGAGGTAAATAATCTGTGTGATATCAATTGTCTTGATTGGAACATTTTAGTCTCATTTATTAATACTAAACTACTTATCATTATGTCTTCTGTAAACATAGTTTCCAATTTGTCTTTAGACTGTTGGGCCTGCCGACGGATCGTCTTTTCTTCGACCATACTACGATCCTATAGTGAAACTTCTCTGCCGGACTAACTTTACAGTGTATGCTGGTTGAATGTCTAGTATTCACCATCTAGGAACAAACGAAAAAGAATCGAGCTCCTTTATGCGTTTGCGGTATTTGTCCCTGCTGCAGAAAATTAGTAGGGACTGTTCAATTCTGCTTTATTTAACAGATTTGAAGGAACCTCTCAAGGCCACTCTAAATATTTGGTGCCCTTCAGATATAAGAAGCAACTCAAAGACGAAGTTAGAACCCGGATTCATTTGTGTAAAAAATCTGCATACTCCGTTGGGTGTGGTTTGCAAAGCTCGTATTCGTGAATCTGACGTGTTAGCTATCCAGGCCTTTTCGGATTAAAATGTCTGAAAATTCGTTCCGGATTGGTGACACACCACCTGTGCCGCCGAAAAAACGTGCCCGACTGGATGTATCAACGATTGACACTGTTAACGGTTCGATGGATGCTACCTCTTTTCGTCCTGAGAATATGCATTTAATATCTGTTCTTCAAAACGATCTTCGCAATAAGTGTTTAGTGTTACATACTCGTTTTGGCGATGATCCAAAGGAAGCTATTGTTACACTTCAGAAATCATCATTCCCAAATGATCCGAACACTTTAAAACGTTGTAAAGTAGTTAATAAGCTCATTGGTCTCCATATCTCCGACGATATTGATGACCAATGGCATGAAGAAGATAAAACTGACGAGACTGAAAATGATACTTTTCCCCAATGGCAAGCCAAGTCCATTATGAAAAACGATATTTATCATCGCTTCCTTATAACAAATGGTCTAGAGTCTATTAATGGTATCGAAATGACTGTTACGTATCCTGCAGAATCACATCACTTTAGTAGATATGCCAACTCCCGCCGTCATATTATTCAGGAGACTCCTGCATTGTATAAGGATGTCATTCTCCCTTTTTTGTCCCAGAAACCCAAGGATCTTACTTGGATTGATAATGTAGTAGCAGGAATCGCTGAACAAGATCGTACTCTTCACAATGATGCTGATGAAATGTTTGGTTTTACACTAGTATTAGATTACCGATGGGATGGGTTACGCATTCAAGAACTTCATTGTTTGGGTATTGCTCATGACCAAAAGCTAACTTGTCTACGGGATCTCCGTAGCTGCCATGTTCCAATGCTGAAAAGAATTTTGCAGCTGGGTCGTGATACGCTCTTTCGCAAATATTCTAAATCAGAAACATCCGATAATCAAATGTCTGGTGATAATCCGAAAATTATTTTATCAAAAGACCAAATTCTTGCATATATACATTATCCACCGACGTTTTATAGATTTCATATTCACTTTGTGCACATAGATTCTGGAGACAACTATGGCACTAATGCATGTAGAGCACATATACTCGAAGAAGTTATTCGAAATCTCGAACAAGATGATTTGTACTATGCAAATCGTACAATAACTATGTTTCTGCATGCTAATAATCCCATGTTTGCAGCTATTTGTCAGGACAGTTCCCATATATCTATTGTCGATTCAGCTCCTGGCTAAATTCCACATGTAGTGTTGTATTTTGGGAGAAATGTAAGATTCAGCACTGTTCAAACTTTGTAATAAAATTGTCTTGGTAAATACAAATAAACTTTTCCGATTATGACTTCACATCACTTTGTATGACATTTGATTAACTTAAATTCTCTACAAAATCCTAGATTCAGTTATTGATGAATTAGCCTTGCGTTTACATTTTCGTGTAATCATTATAATGTGGCTATAGATACTTGTTTCAAGACAGTTAAGAATTCAGAAAATAGTCCCAAGGAGTAGTCATCATCAAGTAATGACTTGCGACCGTTTATCGTGCTCTGATTGATACAGCAGTCTAGGTGTTACCTAAGGAAGGCCCCCACGATCTTGAGCATGCATGCTATATGGTTTTATTATCACCGTGGTATACTGGCTGCGGAGAGCGTCACCAGATTAGTTGTGATTAGTACTCGTGTCGTATGTGCTATGGACGTGCGAAGTTCCTCTGTATGGTCGCTAAGGTGCAATGCCATACAAAGATAACATGGTTTGAAGTTGCGCTGATCACCATTCAACGGCCTCAGTGACTCGGTTATTTCTAAGTTAGCTTCACTCTCAGCACTGTCTAATGACGTTGAAATCGAGTATGGGTTGTAAGAGTGGTTGCCTTATAATGTGATGCCGTGTCAGAAGTTGGCATTCATCAGTTTATTACAACTCCTAGATTAGTAACCTTGAGACTATCCGGCTCATTGAATTAGGATCACGTAACACCGGTGATTTTACCATGCTTCTGACGCTAAACAGACGTAATAGAACTTTTCATGCCCTAGAAACGTGGTATATGATGCGTATATACATAGTATATGTGGATTTGAAATAGTGTGACAAAATACCGCTGATTCCAATAAGCCTAGGTTTTCGACAAGACAAGCAGTAACTCGAATTTGAAGCACGCAGCATGGGATTGTACTGCGCTGTTACAACAAAACAATATTTAGTTGTACAGCGAATGTATTAGCTATTCGCCACATGTGTTCGTAATATGGTCTTGGCTTATTCACAATTTTGCCAGATCTCAATTATCATGCGTACTGATCACTTGTCTGACATTCAGTATTATCTAAAGCCATTATTAACGAGAATATCATTAGAATCACAAGAGAACATTAACAAGATGAAAAACAAATGAAGATAGACAGTGGAAGTGAAAGCAAAAGACATGAAGTTGAAAATCAAAAGGATCAGAAAGTCACATTTTGAAGGAAGAACGAGAATGGATGCAACTGTATCCAGATTTCAAATAAATTACAAAATTTAGGGAAGGTATGGTTACTACATCTGTTGATTTACTGCAAGAAGTTATAAAATTATTCACTTGAATATAGTGTCTACAAATCTACGACCCATGAGTGGTTATCCAAGATCCCTAACGGAACTAATCTTACATCGTCAGGTTGCTTGGCAAGGGTTATGTTTGTGTTCCTTGTCGAAAGTAACTTCCAAAATTTTCTGTTTCCTGTTCAGTTGTTAAATCGTTGCAGATATGACAATTCATTTTCGAGGTTGTTTCCGAAAATAACTACCGATTTAACGAAGTATATACACTATGGATATGAACTAACAACCTATATTGAGGAAAACAACTCGAAAGTATGTATAGTAAGATACCACTTATCTGAATCGTAAAAGATTGTTAGAAATATAGTTTATGACGCCAAATGAAAATAATATACATATGCTTGGTGATACATAGGGATACCAGAAAATTAGCAAATAATTACACACAAGTCATCCCATTCATGGTATAAGGGAGTGGCTTAAGAAGAATCTATAGTGCAACTAAGATAAAACATTCCTATCCACTAAAAATCCCTTTGTGACCTAGATCGACGCATAACTACCATTGCATGCCGAGCTTCCTTAAATAACTTATCAAAAATCATATACACGTTACCTTAAATAGATCATCACTTGGTCAATAGATGAGAAAGTATCCTGTTACAATCAGTCGTTTTTCCAGTTAGCTGATAATCGCTATTAATCAATGAACTGTAGGAACACTTTCAATAAGATACAGCATCCCTTTTGTCTATTCTAAAAGTCTCATAAACAATGAGGCTGAGATTATTCCCCAAGGTGAATTTTCAGATTATGGACCGCTTCATATGTACTTTTAGTCTTGGTAATAAAAAACTATTCTTATTAAATTGTCGTTCAGGATGTACGTAGTTTAGTCCATTTTAAGCAATGTATAAAGCATTAATGGTTAAGTGTACGTTAAAGCTTTCAGTCGTGTGAAATCTCATTGCTACTAATTGTTTTACCAACAACTACTACAGTGATCTAGAAAAAGCTCATATTAAGAATCATGATAACACAATTATATCGTTTGCAAAAAACGTGAAGGATTCCAATTTCCTTACAAACCACATAATGGTTCGCCCGTGACATTACTGTAAGTCCTCACTAGCTGATTACAGCGAATCCCTATGCATAAATCTACTAATTGTTAGCAGTTAGTGACAACGATTTGTCACAGTTATACGGATTTATCGAGCTGGCCCTGCATATCACGTAATGACGCAACAAGTTACGTCTGCTTAACTTTAAGAATTAATTCCTACCATCAATAGAATGATTTTCAAGTATGGAAAATGAGTGCACTGAATTACGGGACACGAGCCTAGTCACCGAAATGCCATGTAATGGAACCGAGGTCCAAGGTTTCCTTGTCAATCGCCTCCAACCACAACATAAAGCTACTAGTTTTCTGGAGAATGTTACATTTGTTTAAGTTAATGAATTCCCTGTGACTAAGACTAACTGTAAGTATTCACCACTGATCTCTTCTACACAGGTTATTTTTCATATAAATCACACGACTGGCTCCTGATAACCATGTTGGGGCACATTAGCGTAGATGCTTACAATGAGTCCCATTGATTTCGAATGCATGGTACAGGTCTCCGTTTATGGATTAATATGCATTTGAACTGATGAATAACAAAAAAACTTGACTATTAACTTCTAAATTACTGTCAATTAAAACGAAATTCAACACAAAAACACTTATGTAAAACAAGATATTAATTCCAAATCGGAAAGTCTAAGAAGAGTGCGCATGTGGTGTTTGATAATCAACTCGAAATCCCATAAAATAGGATATTTATTTTTTACAAGGGAAATTACAAACTTAATTTATCAAGTATATTAGGTGTGAAGTGAATTTGTTGAAATATATCGAAAGAAATAGATGCTGTTCCCTAAAGTATATGAAGTTAAATATTATTTTGAAACTGAATGATTAATGTATTATGAGCAACTGGGAGTAGGTGTTCTAGCTTCCAAAGTGGGTAGCACGTGCACTCCACAAGTCATCTGTCTTTCGAATAAGATTAAGTACTCAAAGGCAATTAAATTATTTCAGAGAATTATTGTTATGAGTTGCAGGCCAACGATGAGACCACCAAACGAGAAACTGATAAAAGCGAGGAAGATGGATCTTTTTCATTTGTAATCCATATGATTCAACTGAACGAGGAGATGAAGTTGGGTCACCAAATTGTTGTTGTGGTGGTGGTCGCAAATATCGACGACATTGTGATAAAGCTGCTGTTTCTGCATCTTCCGCCGTGATGTCACCTTCATTGCCTTCACTTAGTGCTTCACCCGTGGAATGTACTTCTTCCTCGTCGAAAGCATCCAGATAGAATTCAAGATTGTTCCTGGAAGATATATCATAACCTTCTTGAACTCGTAAAATAGCTTTTAATAGCTCTGTTGTAGCTTGAGGATCAATATAGATTGACTTTATTGGTGGACACGCTAATCCCATTCCAGCAGCCTCCGCTTGCAAACGCCACAATGCAAGGACAATTAAATCATCTGAATGACCCAGAGCACGTGCATTTTCTACTGGCCATCCTTGAGGAGCTGGAGATGCAGTCATTATATGAGCTATCGCATATAGTCTGTCTGCCAAAGATGGATATTCACAAGATGAGTTTTGAGATGATTGGTCAGTGAAATGTACTACAGGCCGAGAAATTACTCCAGGAAGACCTCGGACAGATTGCGTTTGTCCAACCGGAACCAAAGACTTACGAGCAAGCGGAATTTCGGAAACAAGAAGACGATGGACAATAAGATAAAGACATGGTATAGTTGGGATAGGCGAGCGATAATGTCCGTCACCCGAACCCATTTCTATAGCAGCTGTTGCGGCAGCCGAATATGCGATATGACACGCTTCAGGTTGATCCGTGGCCTGCCAATCACGTAGCCCCAAACCACAAGCAGGGCAGATAGTTTCATCTCCAGAACCAGTGTGAAAAAAGCCTGCCGAAGCCAGCTCAGAAGGAGATGGAACTGGAGACTTTGGCCGGCAAATTGTTGAATCATTCGCAGAATCCTTCGAATGAATTACTTTTGGAAATGAATCTAACCGCGCCTGATGAAATGCGTAACGAGGTGTGCGGGAATGAATTTGTAATAATCCAGCTGTATGAAAAACAAGCAAAATTGAGTAAAGCAGTTACGAAACAAAGAGGCTTGGAAGATAAAAATTTCACTAAACAGTAGAAACAAAAAAACAAACGAAAAGTAATTGTTGTCTTTAATAAACCAGTGATTGCAGTACAATATAGCGAAAAATTTCCCCTATTAAAAAAGCTGGATTTTACAATAGTAGCGTGATACAAATAAATAGCTTTAAGTGACTAAATAATCTTGTAGGAGACGTCCACTTGAAATAAATTATGTAGAATATATTTAAACGAGAAATAATGTCACCAAGGAAGTATACTTATGGGAATCTGACTTTAGATGAGGTCAGCAGATATTGTGATGGAAAGTTTATAAGTAATTTTTTAGTAAAAGTTCACAAACCCATGAATTTCCCGAAACAACTTCAGACTTTCTTCAGAGGAATGTGAGGCACCGTATACTAAATGAACCATCAGACTGGAAACAATATATGGAACTGCATATGGGTTTATTTAGCCGGGGTGTGAAATAATAATCCTAAAATGTCACCAATGATAATAACGGATAGGCTCATATTTTTAGTTTGGTGATATTGATGTTGAATTTACAAGACTAGCTATTTGAAAGAATTATGGACCAAACTTAACAGTAATGCATTTCAGTAATGAAAACAGTGCTGTCCTTGCAAACATTATACTGTACTTTAGTTACTTCAAATAAAATTCCATCCACTTCGATTTAGACAGCTAATACTTTTCCTCATATGTGACCAAAGATCATCAAACATCAGTACATCTGAACTGCGTTCACAATGACTACATAAACCAGCCACAAAACAAATTACATAAGGTCTAAGACATGAAAATTCCAAAGTGGGACGGATGATAATAGAACTAAAGGGTATTGTAATACAGTACGCGATAATTACAGTTTTGTAACATATCTCGCGATCACGAACTACTCCCACAAGAGTCAAACTTTGTAAGGAAACACTGAATACAATAGTGAGTCAACAAAACGATATTTATGAGATATCTTACCCACTGAAACCAGTAACGAGATGGTATCATTCGAAAGTTGGAATCTGCGTCAAATAAATACCAAGTTTCACCAGTAATTATGCGAATTCCGAATGCCCCGAAAGATAAAAGCTTGTGTTAGGGTCTGCACTGTTTAAGTATCTGCTGTCACTACAACACTTCTTATAAAAGAATCAGTTAGTTTATGAAGATCCTTTACTTAGAACAGACAGCTTCAAAATACGTTCAACCCAATATGTTAGATAGACGTTATATGTGGACAGAGACCTCACGTTGGCTACTACAACATGGCACGAAGTCGATTACATTCGCGTAGTCGCACTCATTCTCCATCTTTCTCGAAGGTGAGTTAAGTATTATCCTTAACTATCTATTTATCAATCGCCCGACCGTTGTTGCTACCTTGACGTGGTGGTCAGGCTTGCCTATCGTGATGAAGCAACTGAGCTATACTGGCTGGAACAACCGTCCCTTAAGGTCCTACCATCCAAGACAGGTCGGTTTAAAAGCGGTAAAACTAAAAGCAACAAAACCAAGGTCCGAAGGCGAAGTCGTACTGCTGACTGTACAGAGGTGTGACAGCAGTAAGGTGTTTCCTTCAGACAACCAGCATAACAGCGATGCTGCCTTCCCACAAGGAGGGGTGGGGTTAGAATAGGTCGACTCAACAAGTACGGAGCTAACACAAAAACTACTCATAAAAAGGTCGTGTGTGACCGACCTCAAGCAGTCGTCCCTTGGGCACTGCGGTCACGCTCTCAGCTCACTAAGACCACCTCTAATCCAATTTCCTTTCCAGGTTTTTTATTTTATTTTAACACATAGGTATTGGTACAAGGAGGCACTAAATACATATGCGCCACACAAATCTCAATTGATATGTGTGAGGGCTGTGATACTGCCGGGTGCCCAAACCGAAGCAGATGGTTTTCTTATGGGGCCACACCCCGAGCCTTCGACCTGAACGTCTGATCCACAAGGCAGTGGAGCATCGTAAGGAGATGCAGTCCCATGGTAGCAGGTGACCAACGGTTGGTTCATACGCCATTTGTTCCTTCAGGATACTGAAGCCCATGTGCACCATTGGTTTGGGATCCGGTTAAAGCGTCGGAAATTCGCGTTTCGTCCTCTCATTTTAGTAAACAACATCCCCGCCACGTGAAGGCAGTGAGTAGGACAAATAATACAAACAACTTACAAAAGAACATATAACGTTCTAAATGACTCACAAAATAAACTGCCTCAATGTTTACACGTCTCATCTCACCAGTTAATCATTCATGGCTGGAATAACCACTACATCGTAAAACATTACAATATTTCAGTTTTCACTTACTCATTCTAGTACATAACTTGACAATCAAGGTCATCTTAATAGTTAACTGTGTAAACACTCATCCATGAGTGAGTCGAATCACACAACAGGTCATACACCTCACTAGAATGATCAACTAGTCACATATCATCAACGTAGTTGGGACCTCCACACAAACCCCTATCGATTAAAGCTGTCATCAAACACCTCACTCACATCACCATACACAGCAACTAACGTGATTCAAAATTAACACGATGACCTGTGTCCAAAAAGTCAGTGGGAATAGAACTCTTAACCATTCTTATCTGTCCTTTGCTCAACCAACACGGACAGTGCTCTGTAACACGATAACAGACTTGCCGAATTATACACCCTACATAACTGGTTCCACAGAAGTAGTTGAACTGGTAAATACACACGGATGTGGCGAATTCAGGCAGTCCGTCTTTATTATTATGAACCGGTTTTAAAAAACACAAACATACACACTTCAGGTCGAAGAACAAATTAGATCGAACAATAAACACTTACGAATCACAATGATAAACTACATTCAACCAATTGAAATTATAAATCACCTTCAGCAAACAAAACAGTATTTACAACTACTACAAAGCTCATAATTATCGTTTAAATACAACCAATACTGCCACTATCACTACACAACACTCACTGATTACTAAAAAACAATTCACAAAATAATTAAAAAACTTACACGTTTCACATATGTAGCAAATGAGAGTTGATTAGCCAATAGATAATTACGAGTAACCAACAGGTAATCTTGATAACCACAAGGTGCTTTCGGATGGACCTTCGCCAGATTATTGACAAGTTCACGCAAATTCTTGTTCAGCTCCTTTTCAGGTACCTCCAGAAGAACCCTTCCACGGTATGGGCAACCGGGAAGTGATAACTGCCCTCATACCCCTAACAGCACTCAAGACCACTGTATTCATAATCAACCTACCTCTTCAATTCCTATTATTCCTCCTACATCGATTTTCAACACTAAACTTCCTCTTTTGACTTCCTCCTCAAGTGTCACCATAGCCAACGATTCTAGTACGCAAAACACTGTCCCAGGTCTACTGAAACCTCGCTCCAAACTACACATTGGAGCCTTCAACGTACGCACACTATGTCAAATCGGTCAGCAGGCCTCATTGTCTAAAACCCTAAAATCTCGTACCAGTGATGTATGCTGTCTCCGAAACACGCATACAGGATCCTAGTGTGGCCATTCACTTGACCTCACCTCGGCAAAACGCAGAGCCGACGAGATACACCCTCCGTGTATCTGGCGACCCGGTGCCTAGTTCTCGTGGACTGGCAGTTGTAGGCATAGCACTAAGCATGAGGGCGAGGAGACACCATCTAACATGGCGACCCCCTGCACCAAACCAACGATGGACTCAAATAGACCATATTGCCATCAGTCATCGTTGGAGAGGGTCGATAAAAGATTGTCACTCATTCTGGAGTACCTGCTTGGACTCCGACCATGCCCTAATACGAGCACTCATCTGCTTGCGCCTCACTGGCAGCAAGAAGTTTGGTGTGAGCGAAACAATCTGCGAGGATGACGGAACGCCAATCACTAACATCCATCGACGTCTTGGACGATGGGCAGAATTCTTTGAAGGGTAGTTCAACTGGCCTGCTGCTCCGGCAACATCGGTCAGACTGTCCTGCCCTCCATGGCCGGTGACGACTGATCCACCAAATGAGGCGGAAGTCTGCAAGGAACTCTAACTCTTGAACTGTTTTCTGGGATTGTCTATTGAAGAAGGGTGTGCCTGAGAAGTTTATTAACATCCTAAAAGCTCTATACACAAACACCTCAGGCAGAGTGAGGGCATACAACCACCTCTCTCCACTATTCCATTCAAGCAGTGGGGTTAGGCAGGGTTGCCCAATCTCACCATTCCTCTTCAACTTTGCCATCGATGACATTCTGGAAACAGCTCTGATAGATGTAAGTAATGGTGGTGTGGATCTGTTGCCTGGAGAAAGACTTCTCGACCTTGAGTATACGGATGATATTGTCTTACTGTGCAATAATGTCCGAGCCATGCAATCCGCACTTGATCAGTTGGCAATCAATGTCCGTAGGTATGGTATGTGCTTCGCACCTTCGAAGTGCAAAGTACTCCTACAAGACTGGCAGGATTCTAATCCTGTACTCACTCTAGATGGTGAGCAAATAGAAGTGGTCGAGAAGTTCGTGTATCTAGGTAGCTGCATAAGTGCTGGTGGTGGCTTGAGTGATGAGATCAATGCACGTATAGTGAAAACCAGAGCGGCTTATGCCAATCTGGGCCATCTTTGGCGCCTTCGTGATGTTAGTCTGGCTGCAAAAGTTCGGATCTACAACGCGACGGTGAGTGCAGTTCTGCTCTATGCTTGTGAAACCTGGCCTCTCCGAGTTGAGGATGTTAGACGACTCTCTGTGTTCGATCATCGTTGTCTCCGAAGGATTGCTGGCATCCAGTGGCAACACCATGTCAGTAATGCAGAGGTCCGGCATCGTGTGTTCGGTCACAGAGACGATAATGAAATTGGTGTCACCATCTTGAAACACCGACTTCGGTGGCTTGGACATGTTCTACGAATGTCGTCCCAGAGAATTCCTCGTCGTGCATTATTTGCCGACTCTGGGACTGGTTGGAAAAAGCGGAGAGGTGGCCAGTATATGACATGGTGTCGTGGTATGAAAGAAAGCTGCAAAGGGCTAGCTTCTGTTGGTCCTTCACGACTCCCTGGATGGGGTCCGAGAGACGGTGTAACGCAGTGGCTAGAGACGTTATCAGATATGGCTCAGAATAGAAGCCAGTGGCGATCCTGCTGTAACCTTCTTTTACTTTCTTCATAAAAAGTCATTGTATCTTCCTTAACTGTAAGATTTCTTCTGATTGTACCTTTCCGTTTTCCCCATCATTGTTCTCTCTCTCTTTTTCTCCTCTTCAAATTATCATTGTTTTGTGTGGCGCATATACATTTGGTGCCCCCCCTGTACCAATATTTCTGTGTTCAAATAAATAAATAAAATAAATGCGCCTCACTGGACGCAAAAAAGTCACACAAAAAAGACTCATTAGAACCGAATTGAGTAATGAGAAAACCAAAAGTAGGTTCCAAGAACAACTGAGATCACACTTAGGTAATTCTGAAAACGAGGCTGACCCAGATGTTGCTTGGAAAGTTATACAAGCAGCTGTGGAAACAGCAGTGACATCTACTAGTGATTTAAACCAAAGGGTTACAAAGAACCAATCGATTTCTTCAAGGTCTATCGCACTGATGGATTCGCGTAAACTCATCCCATCAGGCTCTGAACACGATGATGAGCGAAAGAAAATCAGATCTAGGTTAAGCAAAAGTCTAAGGAACGACCGTGAGTAGTGGTGGGTAACGGAAGCCAGAGAGATGGAAGAGGCGGCGGCTGTTTGTAACAGCAGACAGCTCTTCAGACTTATAAAAGAAACTGGAACTGAAAAGTTAGGTATGAGTGCGGTGGGCCCGTCTTCCCTCTCGAAATACTCTCACGCCTATAGAGCTTTTGCCAGGGAAGTCCTACTCTCTGCCTTCTCGTGGTGGGAGTGTTGTTTACGAAAATGAGAGGAAGAAAAGCGTATGTCCGGCGCTTTAACCGGATCCCAAACCGATGGTGTACATGGGCTCCAATATCCTGAAGGAACAAATGGTGTATGAACTAATCGTTGGTCACCAGCTACCACGGGACTGCATCTCCTCAAGATGCTCCGCTGCCCTGTGGGTCAGACCTTTAGGTCAAAGGCTCGGGGTGTGCCACTCTAAGAAAACCGCCTGCTTCGGTTTGGGCACCTGAGCAGTATCACAGCCCACACACAAATAAAATGAAAATTTGTGTGGCTCATATATGTTTGGTGCCCTCTTGTACCAATATCTATGTGTTCAAATAAATAAACAAAATAAATCTCGGAAAAAGACAACGTTCTTATCTGCTCCCAGTCCAGACGTTTAGAACGATGGGTGGAACACTTTAAGGAGCTGGCCTTCAGCTACTCTACATCTGCCCACCATTCCCAGACAGCGTGAATGGAACATTGAAGTAGGTCCACCAACTCAAGCTGAAGTTCTAAAGGCTATAGTTAATCTGAAACGAGGAAGGGCAGCTGGTCCAGATGGATTGGCTCCAGAGGTCTTTAAGGGTGGACGTCCAATTTTAGCGACTAAGTTGACCATTATTTTAGCTCAAATCAGGGAGTTGGACATAATCCTCTCTGACTGATCACAATCACTTATTGTCTCAATATTTAGGAAAGGGTCAAAATTATCCTGTGACAACCATAGAGGGATTAGTTTGACTAATATAGTATCTAAAATACTAGCCTCGATAATTTTCGGACGCCAAACGAAGACTCGTGAACTGCAAACACGAGAGAATCAAGCTGGCTTCAAACCTGGTCGTGGATGCATAGACCACATATTCACCAATCGTCAGGTTCTAGAACACAGGCATGCTTTTCGGCGTCCGACAATGGTGGTCTTACTTGACTTAAAAGCAACATTTGACTCTGTAGATCGAGAGGTTCTGTGGCAGTGTCTGTCATCGAAAGGCGTACCTCAGAAGTACATAAACCTTATGAAGACTCTTTACTCGAACACTACTAGTTGAGTCAGAGCTTATGGCGAACTGTCATCTGCTTTTGCAACCTCAAGTAATGTCCTGAAAGGCTGTCCACCATCCCTTTTTTGCTCACTTTCATTGTAGACTTACTACTGGAAACAACGTTCTCATCGACTGAATTTTCAGGAATTGACCTCCTACCAGGAGGTCAACTTACTGACTATGAATACGCAGATGACATAGTCCTGTTTGCTGAAGACGCTGATAAAATGCAGAGTATTTTGATAGCACTGAGCAACAATGTCAGGATGTTTATAATGCGTTTTTCCCTCTCTAAATGCGAATTGCTTCTTCAGGACTGGCCTGCATCAACGCCTGAACTAAGGATAGGAAATGAAGTGGTCGAACGCATCGACAGCTTCACTTATCATGGAAGTCTGATCAGCCCTAATGGGTTGGTGTCTGACGAAATCTCTGCACGGATTCAAAAGGCTCGTTTGGCTTTTGCCAACTTACGTCACCTATGGCGAAGGCGAGATATCCGTGAGTATACTGCGCAGTAGTTCGTCCTGTTTCACTTTACGGCTGCGAAATGTGGCCATTAAGAGTAGAAGATACTCGTAAGTTACTAGTATTTGACCACAGATGTCCTAGAAATATTTCTCGCGTCTGCTGGGATCACCGGGTAAGTAATAGTGAGGTTAGACGCAGAGTATTAGGGTATGATGATAAATTAATTGACAAGGTTGTAAATCTACACCAACTGAAGTGGTTCGGCCACGTATTACCCATGCCCGACCACTGATTACCATGAAGCGCAATGCTGACTAGTGCTGGAGACGGTAGGAAGAAAGTTAGCAGCAGCCAAGCTAAAACGTGGCATCAATCCATAAAGTCGCTACCTTTTAGTCTGAGCCATGTTGGCAGATGCAGACTTCGTTGGGGTCCGTGTGATTATGGTAAGTAATGGTTGGAGATTCTTGGTGACATAGTTCAGAATCGATCACAATGGCGTCGGTGTATACACTATCTGTCTTCCTTTAAAATCGCTTCATATCTTTCTTTCTACGGACTAATTCTTTATTCCTGTACTATCTCCTTATATGCAACCTTTCTTTTATATATTACCACCACTGAATTAACTAATTCTACGAATCCGGTGTTCATCTTGTTGTGCTAGTGCGGTATGGCAACTTGGACCGATGCATATATGTGCCTGGTCCTACGTTACAGCTGGCTGACTGATTTATCAATCAAATTTGCTTGCTTTTTTCAAACGATTTTTTTATGGTTAATTATCATGGGTGTATGAATGTGGGGTGTGAAGGCTTTGAACGACACACAGTCGTCCCAAGTTCTACGTCAGTATTGGCAGACAACTCACAACATCATAGTGTTGATAAAGCCAAGAACATGTTTTGTATTCCTATAGTCATAAGTAATAATGAAGACACGGGCTAGAAAGCTACCTTTTTAATCCTAAAAATTTCAGTAGTTAGATGGGCACAAAGTGCTTCAAGTGAAAGCTGTCGCATATCTCGCGTCAACACTTATTCTTTATAATATTAGAAGCATGGGTAAAATTAAATGATTTAAAAGAAACGTCAAAGCATTGGATCAATCTGAGATATATAGGAAAGTGAAGATTAAATGTATGGATCTATGTGGTAGTAATAATATAATGACGTAGATCATATTTATGTGCTCGCGGTCGAGTCACTGAGTGATGGGTCGCAGTACTACCCACATACATAAAGCAAAGTATTTCAAGTTGGGCTCATTTGAAACCCAAGCACTTTAAACATTACGGGACGTGTTTATCTATACTAATACTAAACAAGGATGATACCTTCAAAATATGACCAAGATTTTAGACAATCTGGCATATAACCTTTCAAGGTACTCAATGTCTTTAAATACACACAGATGATTGTGGCAAAATGACCACACCGGTGAGCCTAATCATTTCAAGCCCATTTAGTAGGCTTCTAGTTAGTCATTTTTGAAAATGTAGGTTGCCTAGGAATAACGCCTTAATACTACCATATTCAAGTGGGATTACTATTTAATCCCAATTGATACTAAACGACGTAATATTTGTTAGGTTCGGTGCAAGACAAGAAGTTATGAAGTTTTAAGTTTTGTACAATATTGGACGGTGTTTAGGTCATATAAACCACACATAACTCGTGCCAAATAGAATATTTGATGGACTATAAATGGATCTGTAACCATAAAATACAACTTAAAATGATAAAAATTCACACCTTTAGTAGAGACAAATGACCGCAAGTTTCAGAACATTGTTGCACACCATAAATCAGAGCGAAACAACAAAAACACAAGGATGTAAAAAAGTGTTCACAATATTAATTGCATTTTGATGAATTCTTAACACAAACTTACCTAAGATGAGTGTTGCAGATGCGTAATCCAGTTCATCTTCCGACTGCACAGTTGCAGAAAAGGTATCATCTAGTGCGTCTGACAGGTTCTGAAAACAAGACATCATGCTTTGCAGATTCTGCTTTATTTAGTCTTTTGTATGCACGGCTACGTCACCTAGACAATACTCAGAAGAACAACCCACTCCCTAAAATCCAACTGGACCAGTGACTCGATCTACTAGAGTTTCGGATAATACGATTTTTACTTCATTTTAATTGGCCACCAGTTTACTGACCTTTTATTTCGTTTTGACCAATCAGATCTACCTGCCTTTCATACGTCGATAATTAAACCAGCCAATTATAATTACATATTTGGCAATGACCTTAATGTTGTCAGATGGCTCATTTGGCTGGCGATTAGTGGCCTTGAAACCCAAAACGCCGCACATTACAATAATTAAGCTTTCTATTCGGTTTCAATACCCTGCTTTATCCAATGATCTATCAGGCTTCGACGACGTCCAGTCGTAGATAATTTATCTCACCATTTCTAAACTAGGTTTTATAATATCACATTATCTCTCGTATTTACTTAGAAGCGTTAATGAGAACGCTTATAAAGAAATAATGCCAGGAATTAGTCCTAAGTACTACTGATTATCCACCAATGTCGACCCATAATTAATGTAATGTAAAAAATAAGTGCACACATATTTGTTCCTTTGATAACAAAGTCCCATTCAACGGATCTACCTAAGAACTAACTTATAAATACATAGCTGTAATCAATTAATCTAAATTTCGGACATGGTTGTCGTATCCTGGATCCAAAACACTAGTGCTCGTTCTCAGGGTTTATGTATGGGGTTGTGATATATTCACCAAGTAGATAGAGGTATAGTAGTAATATTCTTACGCTTATCATCTAGGTAATTTTGAGAACCGTACTCTGAAGTGGGAACTGTATATAATATCAAGTCGGTCGACAAGAAGTCCCTCTTTATTCATACACCTTAACATATCAGTGTATTTATTTGGTTCCTCTGCAAATCTGAGTGGCTCGACTTCGTTATTTGAGTGAGATACCAGCTTATGGAGCAAGTCATTCAGTCATTTACAACATTGAACCAGGCACATATATGCATCGGTCCAAGTTGCCATACCGCACTAGCACAACAAGATGAACACCGGATTCGTAGAATTAGTTAATTCAGTGGTGGTAATATATAAAAGAAAGGTTGCATATAAGGAGATAGTACAGGAATAAAGAATTAGTCCGTAGAAAGAAAGATATGAAGCGATTTTAAAGGAAGACAGATAGTGTGTACACCGACGCCATTGTGATCGATTCTGAACTATGTCACCAAGAATCTCCAACCATTACTTACCATAATCACACGGACCCCAACGAAGTCTGCATCTGCCAACATGGCTCAGACTAAAAGGTAGCGACTTTATGGATTGATGCCACGTTTTAGCTTGGCTGCTGCTAACTTTCTTCCTACCGTCTCCAGCACTAGTCAGCATTGCGCTTCATGGTAATCAGTGGTCGGGCATGGGTAATACGTGGCCGAACCACTTCAGTTGGTGTAGATTTACAACCTTGTCAATTAATTTATCATCATACCCTAATACTCTGCGTCTAACCTCACTATTACTTACCCGGTGACCCCAGCAGACGCGAGAAATATTTCTAGGACATCTGTGGTCAAATACTAGTAACTTACGAGTATCTTCTACTCTTAATGGCCACATTTCGCAGCCGTAAAGTGAAACAGGACGAACTACTGCGCAGTATACTCACGGATATCTCGCCTTCGCCATAGGTGACGTAAGTTGGCAAAAGCCAAACGAGCCTTTTGAATCCGTGCAGAGATTTCGTCAGACACCAACCCATTAGGGCTGATCAGACTTCCATGATAAGTGAAGCTGTCGATGCGTTCGACCACTTCATTTCCTATCCTTAGTTCAGGCGTTGACGCAGGCCAGTCCTGAAGAAGCAATTCGCATTTAGAGAGGGAAAAACGCATTATAAACATCCTGACATTGTTGCTCAGTGCTATCAAAATACTCTGCATTTTATCAGCGTCTTCAGCAAACAGGACTATGTCATCTGCGTATTCATAGTCAGTAAGTTGACCTCCTGGTAGGAGGTCAATTCCTGAAAATTCAGTCGATGAGAACGTTGTTTCCAGTAGTAAGTCTACAATGAAAGTGAGCAAAAAAGGGATGGTGGACAGCCTTTCAGGACATTACTTGAGGTTGCAAAAGCAGATGACAGTTCGCCATAAGCTCTGACTCAACTAGTAGTGTTCGATTAAAGAACTCTCACTAGGTTTGTCTACGTCTGGAGAAAATTCAGAGAACAATAATCAAGAGAGCATTCCAACTTAAAAGCAGTCCTTGCGAGGTACTTTTGGAAGGGTTGTAACTTTAATGTGGGCAGTTCAGAAGAATTGGGGTTAATATGATAATTACTTACCATGTTTCTATCGTCATGCTAATAGGTTATGCTTTTTATCTGGGACATACTGTGCAATCCTGGCTTGTGAATTCCCCTAACTTCTTGTTTTATGTCGATGAAAACCTTTTTTAACTTTTTCCAACCACTATTTCAAAAATGCCGACAAGATTTAGTTAGCTTCGATTTATTGCACATTTCAAAATTTAGGAAAATACAAATTCACAGATAAATGTAAAGTTAGGGGATTTTGTAATAAAACTTATCAGTATTTGCAAATTTTTACCCTTCAGACAAAAATCTGGTTTCTTCAAAAAATATCTTTTTGTTAAAGGTTATGAACAGATGACTATGCCTATGTGTGTTTTCAAGTTCATTATCATTCATTTATTTGTTAACACAAACTTTCTATTAAAGCTTTGATAATGTGAACTTCCATACATCTCATATCTATATTGTGTCAAATTATTCAGCAAGTAATTGAAGATTAGTCCCAACAATAGTACTGAATAGAACAAATTAAATCATACCAGCTACATATCATAATTAGATTTGAATACTTCTGAGTTAAATAGACCAATGTGTGCAGATAACACGAAGATATATTTCATAGCTAAGCACAAGCTAATAAGCTTTTTATTTATTTCGAAATTTTATTAAATATTGAATAGTTTGAGAATCGAGAAACTGTTCATACGAGCACAATAAAGTATTTAGGTTCCATATCAAGGAGTAGCGTTAAGTTAAACAAAAACTGAAAACCAGGAAGCACTGGACATCCATACCAGGCGTGAGTGAAATTTAACCAGTAACATTGAATAATTGGATAACTGACTGAGGTAAGAAGTGTTAATCACTAGGTGACAACTCAATAGTTTGGAGGTTAAGACCTGAAAGTCCTGTATTTTAATCGTTATGGGGCCGTACGACAGAGTGAAATACCTAGTGCATTTTAGGGTTAAAAGGTTAAATGATCGGATATTAAAACAGAATGATAATTACTAATACTTCAGCTTTTTCTCAAATTTAATCAAATATTCGTAAGAGAATTGATTGACTTATCAATTAAATATAGAAAATGTGATTTAGGCAGTAAATATTTGGTCAAAGTGAGTAGTTCGATGAGTAAGTAACATGTACTGAAAACTCCGTAAGTTTGATTGAATTTGATTAATCAAAGATCTATAGTTAAGTAACTGTACTATTTAATGGTCTGTAACCATTTACATGAAACTCTTCGATACCCAGCTAACCAGCCTGATTTTTGTATAAAAACCAATATCCTATTCACTAATACTGTATTTCATACCAGGGTCTTGAGTATAAGGCTTACAGAAGTTTTGTGTCATTTTCACAAAATTCTGTCTAACCGGTTATCTTCAAATTAAACTGATGTTTTATGGGTACATGATACGGTGTTAACATGATAGAAACATTTTAATGATTATAATAATTTAAGTAATTGTCCCAGTAAAATGAATCGTACAAATACTTGAAGAAAATATTTTGAACAGTAGTAGTTAAAATGATCTTAAATTTCTTACAATACCAATCCGAATATAACTGTCATGTTATGATAATTAGGAGTATTTGAATTATAGTGCAAACTAAGAATTCCATAAATAACGCAATTGGATCAAGAAGTACTAGATAAGCACGAACGAATTTAGTGTATTTGGAATTAGAAATCAAGCATTCAACGAGTACAAAGGAATCGTTAATTCATACAAACACCACAGCTTAAATTGGAGTCTAAGTGTCTGTAGTCGATTGTACGTCTTCTTCTTAAGTCCATCTTGTGTCTATCCGACAGTGTATTTGATAAAGACTCTGAATTATCTAGAATGTATTCATTAGTATTAGAATTAACAACCGAAATCGGAACAGACTCACTTGCTTCCTGAGATTGTATACAATCACCGTGTCTGTTGTGTATCGAAACCACTAATATCTAGAATTTGAACCACAGATTTTTCAAAACTATCCCCCCCCCCAAGAAATAATCTTGGATCTTCATATCCCCAAGTTATGAACGATGTGGCTTCATTTAAAACATATTTCTCACATTGACTAGAGTAAACATGAAGTGACTTCGTGATAAGGATAAACAACAGTTGATATGAAATTATCCGAATTGTAATCAAAATTGAGCACTTTTAGTACTCGTGCTTCGCACTGAGCAAGTTTCCCACAAGAAACAAATACATTATGAGGGCAAATAATATTTGATATGACATAAAGATTTGAGTCTTCTGAAATAGTTGTTTTTTGGAATTTATTAAGAATATCATTACAGAGCAAAGGATCATTTGAAAAATCAGCATCAATCAAAACTAAATCAAGTTTTCGACCATGATTAGGTCCACTCAATATATTTTCCTCAGATTTGTAAGAAATTTAATCAGAAATATGTGAATCATTAGGAAAAACCATATCTGGTACAATAAAATGAGAAATCTGATAAGTTTATTGATTAGGAACTGTTGTCTCACAAGGATTCTGGGTTCTATTTAACTCTGGTCTGCTATGTGACTATACCGCTTTTCGAAGTCATCGATAAAGATAAATGATCGTTAGAAACACCCAACTTAATAGAATTACGATTACAAATTTTAGCATTACTTGTAGTTGAATGAACCGTAGTATGAAAAACTGACTGAATCTGTCCAATCTCACCACATTTAGAGTATTTAAAATTGCGAAATACATATAAATTAAATGAGTGAAACTTGCCACAGGACAAACATTGAAGAAACTTATGCCCATCTTCGTGAACTGCATCGCAACTCCTCAATGAATTATCTGCATTACCTTGAGTATACACTGGA